CTGTTTCGTTGTTGGTGGGGAAGATGCCGGCATAGTGGCTGATGCTGCTGTTGACGCACTTGTTGTGCTGCAAGGCACGGGTGAGCACGAGCATGCTGGCCACTCAGCAGCTCCCACAGACATAGGTGGACCCCTCCCCCAAGGGATGCTCGCCCTGCCTGTCTCCACAGCCGGGCACAGCAGCTGTCACCTCCCTGTGGGTGTGAGGTGACACTCACCACGTCCTCGTTTCGCTGGTGGTAGAAAGCCTCGCCAAAGACAGACATGACGAAGAGGTTGATGAGAAAGGAAATGAAGAGGGCCAGGCAGGATTCAGTCAGAAAATACATGTTGGCCTCCTGCACCGCCTCCTTCTTGGACCGGTCGATCGCCCGTGTCTGAGCATGGTGAGTGACATGGGTGCCACAGGGTCAGGCAAGCACCCCTGTACCACAGCCAGGACCAGCTGGTCCTCACCAAGACACCCTGAGGTGGCAGTGCCCATGGCAGTGCCCTGGGTCTCACCTTGACCAAGGAGGAGTGGAGGAAGATGTTATGGGGCATAATGATGGCACCAACGATGCCCACGGCCTGGAGCAGCTCCTCTCGCCCGCAGCCCGGGCAGTAGGGCAGGAAAATGCCCTTCAGCACCTCCACCTGCCGTGGCCTCACCACCACGTACTGGGGACCAGTGGGAAGGGGCACTGTGAGCTGGACCCCCCTCTGCCACAGCCCGGTGACAGTGAGAATGCCCCACAGGCGTCCCCTGACAGTGCCCTACAGGGAAAGGGGTATCCCCAGCTCCCCACTTTACCTCATAGCCGAAGGTCAGGGCCATGATGGTGATGAGGAAGCCAAAGAAAGCCTCCAGTTTGCGAAGTCCTAGAGAAGTCAAGAGATGGGGTGGGATGGAGCGGAAAACACTAGCACCACATCGGCACCGGGGCTGCCCTGGTGAGTGTCCCTCCATTCCCTGCACCCCAGCACTCACCGTACTTGTCAAGAAAGAGGAAGAAGAGGGTGTCCACAATGGTGATAAGGACCCCACCCCAGAGGGGGATGCTGAAGGATGGCAAAGGGGGGCATTAGATGTGTGTCCCTCGGTGGAGCAGGGACATGGAGGATCCTGGGGGGGGTTCCCGGTGGGGGGACTCACCGGCCAGCTGAGAGCAGGCTGAAGGCGATGGCTGTCCCAATCACCTCCTGCATGTCAGAGCCAATGATGGCGATCTCGATCATGAGCCAGAGCAGCACACGGGGCACCTGGAGGGGCCGGGGCACCGTGAGGTGCCTGAGCCCGCAGCGGGGCTTGGGCCCAGGTGAGCTGGCACAGCCTCCAGGGTGGAGACCCCTGTCCCCAGACTGCAGCAGGCCACACAGAGCAGCATGGGGATCCCGGGAGACACCCCCACTCTCCCCAGCCTGCCCCCTCTCCCCATCCCTGCCCCAGTGAGAGCTGAGGACAGGACCCAGCTGTCTGCATATGGTGCTCCTGGGGGGTGCTGGGGCAGAGGGACGTGTCCAGCCCTCCTTTTGGGGACCTGTTGTTCAGCCAACATCTCATTGCTCATTCACCACCATTAGGATCCTGCTGCCTAGACGGGACTCCTATAACCCCCCCCCCTCTCCTTTGCTGTGTGACCCCCCTGAGCCCCATCAAGTCCCTGCACCAACGCGCCCAGACTTGCCCCGCGTCTCAGCTGCGCGTCGCTGCCCCAACACCCTTGCTCACCTCCCCGAGGGACGCGCTCATGTGTCCCCTGATCAGGCCAGGACACTGAGGTAGCTGCTCCCCCCATCCTCTCTCTGGGTCTCCATATTGCAGGGGTGTGTGGGTGCTAGGTGGGGGGCACCGGGGCTGGGAGGGCTTTGGGGACCCCCTGGGGGAGGTGGGGCTCTCGCAGAATCTTCCTGTTCCTCTTCAGCCCCCCCATTCCCTGCCAAGCCCAAGCATGGGGTCCCTCCAGGCAGTGACCCCTGTGGGGGCTCCCCATGGCTGCTCACCTTGGGGTAATAGAGGTAGCAAATCTCACCCAGGTCCTTCCCTGTCACCACGCCCAGCCGGATGGCCAGGCGCTGGCACAGCAGCCCCAGGATCGTGGCCCACAGCAGCACCCACAGCAGCTGGAAGGGAGGGGGGGCAGAAGGGGGGGGCTGAGCACCAGGCAGGATCCAGCTGCCTGGGGCTCCCAGCAAGGTTATCAAACAGCCCGGAGGGGCCAGAGGTGGTGCCCAGCCCAGGCAGAGGGGTGGCTGTCTCGGATTCCCGGGTGCCCTCCCCCAGCGCCAAGGGCCCCCCAGTGCTCTTCCCGCTCCCCGGGCTGGGGAAGCCAGTTCGCCATGGGGCTGTGCAGCCGTTGGTGCAGGAGAGGTTACGAAACCCCCGGCTGCTTCCTGACCCCGGGGCCGGGGGGGCCCAGCGCTCACCTTGAACCCTGCCACTGCCCCGCACTGCAGGTCCGACTCCACGTTTCCCGGGTCCAGGTAGGCGATGCTCATGAGGAAGCCGGGACCAGTGAAAGCCCAGAGTTTCCTAAAGCTGAAACCGGGCTGGGACGAGGCAGGCAGTCAGAATGAGGAGCTCCCATTCAAACCAGTGTCTCCCAGTTGCACTCCTGGTCCCCTTTAGCCTGGTGTTGGGAAGCCCTGTGCTGCCCGTATGGGTGCATTTTGTACAAAGAGGATATTTCTCCCACCTGTTTTGGGAAGGGCACTGCTGCCTCCCAGCCTGTCTCCGTTAGAAGCAGCAAGACCCCCTATCCCACCTGGGGACAGATGGGACAAGGGGGTCCTGGGGCTATCAGGCACCATTAGTTGCACCCCATGGGATCCCGCTGCTGAGCCCCGCTTTCACCATCCCTCCTGGCAGAGGAACCCCCATTCCTTCCCCTTCTGCCTGCCAGGACCAGCTGGGGCTGGGGGAGCTGGTGGGGCACAGGCAGCCTGGGGAACCCCGGCTGGGCTGGGCTCAGGTGGCCCAGGATGGGGAGCCCAGGAGGTGTGTGAGCAGTGGGGTGAGCCCTGTGGCTGGGTAGCGCCTCACCCCATGCCTCAGTTTCCCCAGCTGGAAGGCTGTAGGTGTGGAAATGCTCTGCTTGGGGCTGTGATTTGCTTGAAATGGGTCTGGGGTTGCTGAGCTGCCCAGGGCACGTCCCAGGCGTGTCTTCCCCCCTCGTCCCCTCTGCCGTGGCCCTTTGCCTCCCCACCTCAGGCTCCTGGCCCCTTGCCCTGTCCCTGCCCTCCCTCAGATGGAGGTGCCAGCCTGGCCTCACCTACCCCATCGCCCTTGGGGATGCTGATAAGTTCGTCCAGGTAGGTCTGATCCTGGGTGCCAGGGCGCTGCGGGGGCATGGGGCTCCCACTGGTGCCATAAGTCTGGGCTTGGCCCCGGTTCAGGGACCCAGTGAGGCCTGGGGGGGGTGAAGAAGAGGAAGAGGCGAGGTGGCAGCTTGCTGGGGGGGGGGGACAAGTACACTGGTGGGCTGGCAGCCCTGGTACCAGCTTCCCCACAGTCCCACCTGCCCCTGACCAGTGAGCCCCATTTTTCCATGGGGGCTGGGTGGCTGTATGGGGGCTGTCAGGCTACCCAAAGGGGTCAGATAACACCTCATCTCAGGTGTCCCTAAAAACCCCTGGTCTGTGCCCAGTCTTCACCAGTTTGAGCCAAGTGTATTTCTGGGCAGGAGGGACAGGAGGGGACCCTGTTCTGGGTCCTGCTGCTGCGTGGGCACGGAACGGGGACAAGAGGCTGGTACAGGTCCCACTCCCCCCGTTCAGCACACCCACGTCCTGGGAGCATGGGTGGGCTTGGGGGAACAGAGGATGGGGGAGGTGGGGAAGCCAGGACAGGCTGGGGGGGACGGTGCCCAACAGGGGTTGGGGGAAGGGAATCGGGGGGAGGAAAGAAGGTGCAGGGAGGGGACACCCAGGTGTCATGGAGCTCACCTGGCTCTGGTGATGCCATGGCTGGACCCGATCTGGACATGCTGATAGGGAGCCTTGATCTCGACTCTGGGTGCAGTGCCTGCCACCCAGCTTTTAAAGGACCCGCCAGTTGCCCCTCCTTGGGGAGGCGAGGAGGAAAAGGAAGTGTTCCTTCCCCACTCGCTGAGCTGGGCTGGGAAAGGGCCCCTGCCTGGGGTGGGGGGGCAGGGGGGTTGGGTGCTATGAATGTGCACAGTCTCGGTTCCCCCACCCTGTGCCAGGAGGGGGGGACCTAGCGCCTCCCTTCCCCTTGCCCTGCACACGCACATGCAAACATGCAAACACAAGGCACCCACTTCAGCCTGCCCAGGGGTGTGGGATCGTGCCTGCATGTCACCCTCAGTCACAAGCCAGGGGTCCTGCTCTTTGGGCAGTTGGGGGGACAGGGGACAGCGTCCCGCAGTATGAGGAGAGAGGGTTGGCCCCATGGGAGTAGGGGAAAGGCCAGAGGAGCGGGAGCAAGGAGGAAGCAGTTGTGCATTGCACAAGTGCATGAGCAGGCCAAAATGCACCCTCAGCTGCTGGGGGGAGCACGCATCCAGGCAGGCTCTGCGTCACAGGGTGCTTACACCATTCCTGGGTGGAGTGACCTTCACCCCAAGGATGGGCTGCTCAGTATTGTTACAGGTCAAACTGTGCCTGCAAAAGCAGGGCACTCCATTCTGAGGGCCCTCGTAGTTGTGAAGGTAGGAGGGGGGCACTCCAGATGCACCCATGGGTGCCTGGGTAGTACTGGCTGCCTCACTGCAGCACCTCTCTGCCAGCCAGGCTGTGCCCCACAGAGAGGTGGGCATTGGGGTCTGCCCCCAGGGTCATGCGTGGTGGTGGGGGGCACAGGGATGTGAGCCTGGCCCTGCTCTAGGGTATGCCCCAGGCACCCCCACCCCAGGCAAGGGCTAGAACAACTGGGAGGGGGACCGGGTCCCCCCAGACTGGCATGGGGGGGGGGGGCATTAGCATGCAACTCAGCCTCCCCTCCCTCTCCGTGCCTCAGTTTCCCCAAAGCAAACGAGCCTGGACAAGCAGTGCTGGCAGCTTTATTTGCTGTTAGCCGGAGGGTGGTGAGGCAGGGGGTTGGGGACAGGGCTGGCAGCCCCGGTGGAGGCAGAGGAGGTGCTGGGGGGCTGCTGGCGGGTGAAGAATTGGGCAGCAAAGGAGACAGGGTCATGGGGCTGCTGGAGGAGCAGAGCCTGGAGGAAGTCAGCCAGTAGCACCCAGAGCTCGGGGTGCTGCTGGATGTAGGTGTCGTGGGATGCTTGCAGCTCCTCCTGCAGTGGGGGGCAGGCATGGGCACCAGTGTTTCCCCCTGGGGTGCTGTGCCAGGGTGAGGGGGCAGGATCCCTGGGTCCTTTCCCACACTCGAGGAGGTGTGGGGGAGGACGCTGACCAGTCTGCCCCCCCACTGTGCCCCCTAGACACCCCAGGGGAGATCCTGCTGGGGAGTGGCACAGCCCCATGTCCCCATATCTCACCTTCCTGTCCAGAAACCAGGAGCGGAGCTGGAGGTCCTCCTCCCAGTCCAGGGGCTGTCTGGGGAAGGGGGGCAGTGGCTTGTCTCCACCTGGTAGCAGAAAGGCAGGGCAGGGAGTCCCCACTCAGCTGCCAGGCAGTGGGCAGGGGCTGCCCGTGCTGGGGGTCACAAGCCTCCCCCCTCTCAGTACCTGTCTCACCGAGGACAGATTCATCCTGCAGAAGCATGAGCATTGGGCAGCCAACCTGGACCAGCTTGGCCAAACGCCTGTGGAGGGAAGAGCTGGTGACTCCCCTCCTGGGACCCCACCAGGCTGGCAGGGCTGGGGGTGCCCCCGGCTGGACCTCCCCGTACCCGCTGGGGAGGAAGCTGCTGTGCCAGATGGTGGAGACACCCGCAACAGTGTGCATGGCTCGCTCGATCACAAACACCTCTGCCTCCGCCGAGCCCACTGCCTGCTGCTGGATCCCCAGGGCATGCTGGGGGTACATGGTCAGGGGTCACCCCTGTCCCGGAGTCACTCCTGCCCCCGGCTCCCATCCTCATGCCCCCCCGTGCTGTCAGCCACACTCTGCTCACTCCCACTCCTGCATCCCACCCTGCCACCCCCAACCTGAGCCAGACCCCCCACCCCATGGGCCCCCCTGCCCGGTGGCTCACGTAGCTGGAGGTGCAGAGGTGGCCCTCGGTGTCGATGGCCGGGAAGACGAGGTCAGGGGGCACTGCCTGCTGGCACG